AAAATCATACCACCATAACGCAAATCTTCGAGTAGCTTGCTAGCAGAAAATCTGCTTGCAATTTTATAAATCAAAGGAAGTTAATTTTAAAACTAAGAGAACTTAGTTCCCAAGAATTATTTCATGCCAAGGATCTTGCCATATTCATGTAAGCTAAGCCTGAAAAGGTCAAGAGGGAAGGAAATCTATACCAGGAATCATCTGATGTACTTTAAATACATTATTTAATTTAATCCTCACAACAACCCTATGAGGAAGGTAATGTTGCTAACACCAATTTACAGCTGGAATCAAAGGTCAAATAAATAATTTCCCGAAGATCACAGAGCCAGGAGTCCATTCATTGCACAAAATAAGAAGAGTTAACAAATGGTCTCTCTCTTAGAGACATGCATACTAGAATATAGGCATACATATTCATCAACAGCCACAAAGAACCCAAAAGCATTAAGCCCACGTGTGAGTGCCACTGTGACATCCCCAAAAAAGTGTGTACATCAATGCCACTTAAAGTGTGGTCTGCGGACCACCTGTTACCAATGTGCAATGAGATAATACAGAAAACAAGATAAGCATTTAGAAAACTTTAATGTCAACTTAACACAATAATTTTATGTGTTGAATCTAATTTTTAAAAATCTGGGCTTGTAAGTTGTATATCTTTTTTTTAAAGCTTTCACTTTTCTACTAATTCATTTTTATTGTATTTTAGAAAAGTGTTGACCTGTAACAAATTGGGGTTGGTGGAGGCAGGAGTCCTTCACTGAAAAAGTTTGGTAGCAGAGTAAGATATGTTGATGAATCTCAGAAGATTTTAAGAAGCCAGATATTCATATAGCATGTCTCTTCAGAAATCTTTTTTCCGTTTTACATGCTTTAAAAAGTAGCTTACTCAAAATTTCAGAACTTGCATTAGAACAAATACCCCAAACTTCTGGGTGATAACAGCTAGAATCTTAATATTATTCCTAAATAATCACTGTTTTCTGAAGGAAAAGGTTCTGAAAAGGGTGCAGAATGGGACCTTTATTTATTCAAGTACTAACATCATTAAAAATGAAATTCTGCAAAGGGTTAAAAATTGACAGTCTGGACAGAGACAGAACTTCCTGGGAGAACTGAATAAATAGCTTGCATCATTCACTCTCTTTTAGAATCAAGTCTTAATCCATGGAGACAGTGACAGTATGACAAATAGGCTAGTCATTTAAATCTCATCATCATTTCAACTGAAATGACAGAGAACAAGTTGTATTTTCCTTTCTGATTAGTTAAGGTATTCTACTAATAAATGAGCAATGAAGTTTTCAAAACATGATTGAAGAAAAATGAAAACTTG